TATTCTGAAGTTTTGTTCTTTTTTTTTGTGCCTCTGTGACCAGATCACACTGGACTGACAAGGAAAGGAAATGCATTTTTTAATAGGATGTCAGAGAGATCCTTGCTGTTTGATCCATGCTACCAATATACTCTCATCTTTAAATGTGAAACATAATATAATGCATTATTCTGTCATCAGATTTGTATGTGCCTGGTAACCATAGACACAAAGAATATCAGGCAGGCTCAGACATACACCATGAGGGAATACAGCACATGATCTTTGGCTCCTCTTACTCAGAAAATAAGGTGATCACTGCCACATGATGACATCCAGCAGAGGGCAGTGATACACATGCACACAATACCAGCCCATGACAATTTCTGTTTAGCCAAGGCTGTTACTGTTAATCATTATTTTAAATGACAGTGGCTTGTTAAGAGCAATGGAATTAGAGTTTGTGCTGCAGACATTCATTAATCATTTTAACCAGTCTGTCGGTGCAGAAGTAAAATATCTTAACAATTTGTGTAATAGGAATGTTCATAAGTAAAGGTTGCACACCAGGAAAAAGTCCTCAGTTCTGCTACTGAAGGAAATGACTTATTTTCAAATTAAATGGAAGCCTAAAGAGACCTCCATTTATCTTATCCATTGTATTGTTTGCACAGTTGCCACTGGTAATGATTACAATTGATGTATGAGCATGTTTGGCTAGTTGTACATGCTGTAAGAACATAGGAGCCTAAAACTGCTGGAAGAGTTAAAGGAGTTGAGAAATGCTCAGAATACAAAATGAGACACAAATGTACAGTGCAGTGGATGAAATTTACTTTGATGGTATGTGGAAATATGCTCCACTTCAGAATTCTCTGAGAGAGAAAAACAACTCTTGGGTCTGCGTTTAAAAAAAAAGGGTGGGGTGGGGGAAAGAGAGAGATGGTACCAAAGGTTTTTCCACTTGTAAAGTAACTTGAATTTTCACAGGTCTAAAAAGCATTAGAACCAAATTTCAGTAGCAGTGCACTTACAACAGTACACAGTCCTAACCTCTCTAAAATGCCTGCAGCTCATGACAGTGCTTTCCTGTTCAGACATCTTTCTGAATATGAAGTAACCAGTGCATGCATCAATGTCTTCACTTCACTACAAAGAGGATTGCCTCACGGTAACAATAAACTAGTCTGTGTTACAACCTATGAACTTTTTTTATTAGTCTAGTCCAGCTGCATCATGTTGCAGGGTATGACTCTTGATCCAGGGAACAATGAGAACAAGGTTTACCTGAATTTGGAAGAACCCATTTGTTTTGACTTGCAGTTCTCAGCTCTACCCACTAGACCAGTGGTGAGCAACCTGCGGCCTGTCAGGGTAATCTGCTGGTGGTCCATGAGTCTATTTACATTTGCACAGCCACCCACAGCTCCCAGTGGCTGTGGTTCACCGTTCCCGGCCAATGGGAGCTGCGGGAAGCAGCGTGGGCCGCAGGGACATCAGTGGACCGTTCCTTATCCTGCCCCTACTCACATAGTTGACATTGACAGCACCAATGCTGTACTGGAAGTTAGTACCAAGGAATATCCACAGCTCACCCTTAGAGAATTCCTCTCTTGGGTGAACAGATGCATCATTAAGGTCAGCAAATTTGAGCCCTGGCAAATTGACAAAGAGAGTAAGTTCCAGATCTAATGACCTGCCACAAAAAGTAACCGGTCTCTGTCCGCCCACCCCCAAACAAAAGTTCAAATTCAGGAATTATAAATAGGAGTGTCTAACTTGAACTCAGCAATTGGGACTGTGCATCACTAATTTTGTGTAGCTAGTGTGACAAAGTTCCTCCTCTATCTTGGTGGGTCCTGCGCTTATTGGCAGATTTTCTTGCCTCAGAGATTCACCATGTGGGTTGGGGAACAGCCCAGAGACCTTCCCCTCTGGAAGAACCCAGAGTCTAGGTCAATTGGGAGGTTTGGGGCCCACCCTCTACTCCAGGTTCCAGCCCAGGGCCCTGTGGACTGCAGCTGTCTATAGTGCCTCCTGTAACAGCTGCATGATAGCTACAACTCCCTGGGCTACTTCCCCATGGCCTCCTCCAAACACCTTCCTTATTCTCACCACAGGACCTTCCTCCTGGTGTCTGATAACGTTTGTGCTCCTCAGTCCTCCAGCAGCTCACCCTCTCAGCTTCTTGCACCTCTTGCTCCCAGCTCCTCACACTCCCCCCACAAACTGAAGTGAGCTCCTTTTTAAAACCCAGGTGCCCTGATTAGCCTGCCTTAATTGATTCTAGAAGCTTCTTCTTAATTGGCTCCAGGTGTCCTAATTAGCCTGCCTGCCTTAACTGGTTCTAGCAGGTTCCTGATTACTCTAA